AAAACACAGCAAGATAGATAGGTCATCTCTAGGACCTCTGGAATCAAAATTTCCTTATTAACATTCTTCTTGGATGATTCTTATGCACAGTGGGTTTCTGGAGACTGAAGTATAGGACTATTCAGTCATCAGCTAATGCTATTTAAAAAGAAAAAAAGAAAGAAAGGAAAGAAGGAAGGAAGGAAGGAAAGGAAAGGAAAGGAAAGGATAGAATTTGCATAGGTAAGTTTTCCCTGAAGCTTTCTTTTGTGAAATATTTTATGTTATGGCTATTTTCATTCAAGGGTAAATTGTTTGCATTTTTTAAACAGATTATCTACATTGTCAGAAATCCGAAGGATACAGCTGTGTCCATGTTCCACTACTACAGGGACAACCCCAATCTCCCTCCCGCAGAGACATGGGCTGAATTTTTAGAGCTGTTTCTCAAAGGAGATGGTAAATATAGCAATCATCTCTTTCTTATTTTAAACTGTGTTTGTTTACTCTGTGTGTATGCATGCATGTGCTCTGTATGCTGTGTGTGTGCTGTGTGTGTGTGTGCTCACGAATTGGTGTGCAGAGTCCTAAGGAGAACGTTGTATGCCATGTTCTATCAAGCCTTCCTTACTTCCTTGAGATGAGGTCACTCAGCTTGGAGTGGGGCTAGCATCCAGGGACCTCAGAGGTCCTCCTGTCTCCACCTCAGCCAGGCTGAGGTCCTGACTTGCCTGTGGCACACTCTGCTATCTTGTAACGTGGATGCTGGGATTTGAACTCAGGTCCTGGTATTGCGTACTGCAATCTCCCAGCCCTGACAATCATCTTTTAAAATTCATTAAAATGAAAGCTCACTCCAACCTTGGGATGAAACCTAATTTCCGGTTTCCACTCATGCGCTGAGGAGTCTTTGTTTCTTTTAAGCAAATTCTTAATTACGTCACAGTCATTCTTCTGACTTATGAGGAGGGGCATATTTGTGAGTTACTTATAAAATCTTCAAAATAGAGATTAATTTTTTCCTTCTTAATTTTTGAAAATTTTAAAATTTTTAGTTAAAAAAATTGATTCTTAAATATTTTCATATGCCACCAGTTTTGTTCCCCCATCCCTTGTGAGGTAATTATACACTCAGTGGAGGACAGTTAGGTAGCCTGGAAGTAGATATCACAAACAAATAAAAGACATATGCACACATAAATCCTTCCAAAGAAACAAACAAATCATGAGCAAATTGAATGCAGGAAAGGAAACAGAAAGCAATTGATCCTGAAAACTGCATGAGACATGGTTTGACAAAGTGCTCAGGGCCCTGTCCTGCCACTGCGCCTTGCCTTTGTTCCTCTCCCTCTGACTCAGTGGTGTTGGAGGAACCTTAAAAACTTTTTAAACTCTTCCCCCCCACCACTCCAAGACAAAGTTTCTTTATGCAGTCCAGGCTGTCCTGGAACTCACTCTGTAGACCAGGCTGTTCTCAAACTCAAAGATCCAGCCACCTCTGCCTCCCAAGCGCCCAGCAGAAAACTTAATTCTTAAATATTAAACACAGACAGTATGCCAATACAGTGAAGAAATTAGGAGACAGGAGTTTAAAATGAGCGCCTGGAGGACTGCATCGCTTTTGGGAATCACTGTAGGTCTTTCCTAGTTATGCATTTAGTGACCAACTTTCACTTAAAGAATAAGTTGCAAAGAGTTGAGTTGACAATGTAAAAGCCTGGAATATCTGACTTTCTGCTAATGCCCCACCCCCGTCCCAACCTAGGTCGAAGAATCCACTTATATATTACTTTTTTTGAGTTTTATTTTATTTTTCATTTTTTATTTTTATTTTTTTTTTAGCGTTTGGGGCTTTCACTCCTGTGAGTAATATCGTTAGATCATGTCCTCTTCGGACTTCCCGGCCCCCCAGCGCTTCCGGTTATCTCCCCCCCAACCCTCCCCCCTCAACTTCACACTCTCTCCTTTGCACCCACTGAGACCTTCCCCTGTGCACATATTGCCTCTGTTAAGTGCACACAGTTTATAATTTTGCTAGTATACTGTTTAGCTCTCCCTGTTCGTTTCCAGGCTGCAGCAAGCCTAGCCTTAACCTGAGATCTGCAGCGACCCCTCTTCTCCCCTCCCCGCATCGGGGACTGTGTGACTCACAGTTTCAACTCCTGGTGGTGTAGTTTCCCCTTAACAAATGCCACATACCTAGCAGAATCATGACGTCACAGGACCTCCAGGTACTTTATAGGATTCAAACATGCACCTGGCCTTTATGTGACCCCCTCCAACCTCCCCAGAATGCTGTAGGCTAGGCTTGATTATTCCAGCCGCGACCACATGTTCATTAACCTCACAGAGCCACAGAGCAAGCCGTTCATTCTTCTTGTTTACTGTGTGATTCCCATGTGACAGACACTTAGCTAAGCGTTAGGTAAATATTACCTTATTTCACCCTCACCAGAAAGAACCTCATGTGGTAGGCGCTACTATCCTTAGTTTACAGTTCCAAGGGGTGACACACTAGTGATGCCAAATAACTCACGGATACATAACAAATAAGGACTAGAACCAAGATTTATTATTACAAAATCTTTCCCATTACCGTGGTGCCACAATGTATTTAGCCTAAAAAGCTGCCCGATCATCTTCTAAATATTTAAAGACAACCAGCGTGCCTCACTCTTCCCTGAGTCCACCTTTGGAATAAGCAAAATCTAAACACACAATTTTTTTTTCCAGAACAGACCCTGAGTCTGCTTTTCCTCAAGAGGAGAAATGCTATTTTTTGCTTCACACTTTGCAAAGTGTGGCTGCCTCTCCTCTTGCTGCCCGTGTTTCAACCTGGCCATGTCCTGACTATGATATGACTCTGCACCCAGAAGGTGAATACACCGGGGTGAGGTAGGAGGAACCAGGGCAGTACCAGGATAACCCCGCTCCTGCTATAACTGTGTGGTGTTTGGTGGAAATATTCAGTCAGCGAGCACCACACGTTATAGCAGACTTCTCAGAAGGAGAGGCAGAGAGTGGTTGGAAAAACATTCCAGGCATTTCTCTTACTCCTTGGGTGAAAGAATAGATATTTAGTTGAAATGAGATCTCATCGATAACGATTCTACCCCTGGGTTACGCCATCCTGCGTCAACTCTGGGTACGTCATCCTTCGTCAGCCGTAGGTACGTCATCCTGTGTCAACCCTAGGTACGTCATCCTGCGTCAGGCCCGTCACCACTGTATGTCCTTAAGAAGCTTTATTTGGATGTGAGCAGTAACTTCACTTTTCTTATTTGTAAGTCAGAGCAGACGTATAATCCCAGCACTTGGGAGGTTGATGCACAGAGATTAGGAGTTTAAGATTATCCTGGGCTACACAGCAAGTTCAAGGATAGCATAGGCTACATGACATCTTCTCATGGAAAAGACATCATCACCAAATAACAGGAAGGGTAGCAACAGAATTGCTGGTGCTGCGCAGATGCAGATGTCTATGGGTGTGTCTCACACACAAGGGGGGTTTTGAAGGACTCTGAAGATGGTGTTACTTCTTTTGTGGCACGTGGTATAGCAGAGAGAACAGGTCTCTAGGGTGGAAGACAGGGTATCAGTCCTGGTCTGCACTTCATGCTGCATGACTTTGGACAGCCCCATAATTATTTAGAGACCCGTGCTTCACCTGCAAGCAAGACTAGCAGAACGGCCCACCTACAGGATAGTTCAGAGTTGAAACTGAAGTTCTGACCTCGGGATACTGCAGGAATCTACCCAGCTATTCTACTAGACACAGTAGCTTCACACTGAGGGAGGTGTGCATCAAGGAGGTTATTTTATAATGAAGGCACTACAGTATCCCGGGCTGATCTTCCTATGTACACTCAGCTCCTATGTCCACTTATATAAAAAGACAGGAGAGTAAAGATGCAGCCAGACATTTATATAATCATCTAATTTACCTTCTGGGTAGTAGATTGTGAAGTTAAACAGTAACTATAAATTATGCTCTGGCGATATCAAGCCACATTAATAGCTCAATGAAACTAATATCTGAACATTGAACTCATTTTTACACCTCTAGCTCCCTTTCAAACCTTGTAACAGGACCGCGTATTTCCTAGGCCTTCCATTCCAGAAAGTTTTGCTTTATAATACAATGGCTATATCTTCAGAGCAATTTCCAGAAACTAAGAAATGCATTATAATTGCTATCTGGCAGAAGGCAGAAACAGCTGGTGCATAGAATAGAGCAGTAACGTAATGCGCGTAGGTGGGTAGGGAGCCGTGGGGTCACAGGTTGAAAGCATGTATCATGAGTCTAAATACAGAGCACTCTGACAGCAACAGGAGAGGAAAGAAGGAGAGGGAAGAAGATGAAGTGTTTTGCTTCAACACTTGAGTGGCTTTTTCTTCTTCTTTTGTCTATTGATGTAAGCGTTAAAGTAGCAGGGGAGCTCTGCCAGGGAGACAGCTGAGTGAGCCAATGAGAGGAAAGCAGAGAGCTCAGTGAGCCAATTAGCGGAAAGCAGAGGCGGCAAGGGTCAGCAGGGAATGGTAGGAGCTGTCATTTCAGCTGTTGGCAAGACCTGGGGGGAGGGGGGCGGGGAACAGGCGCACAGATGACTGTGACCAACAGTCAGCGTCCTCGGTGACCTTGGTAGCGTGACCAGGTTGATTGAAGACTTGGGGGTGGGGTAGGGACTACTCAAAAGACATAACATCTCAAAGAAACTTGTGTTCTATAGGAAGGGGGCAGAGTTCTGGAAGTTTCTAGCAAGCAAAGTTTCTGACTTATTTTTCAGACAAATAGATTGGGTGAGCCTGAACCAGCTCTGCCCACAGGCATTCAGGGGAAGAGGAGTGTTGGTTGGTAAGAGAAGACAATCCAGGCTAAAGGCAGAAGTGGAGAGAGAGGAACCAGTGACTGGAAAGATGAGGGGTAGGCAGAAAAGCAGCTCCCCTCAAAGGAGACCTGTCTTTATTTTAGAAATTCCTCTGTGGCAAATAGAACAGCTGCCTTTCAAATTACGAGCAGCCCAAACTCTGAAAGTCATTCTTAAATGTGCATTACAATCCATTTCTTTCTGAAAAAGCTATAATGGCCAAGATTGATTCCGTTTAGCCAGTAACCATGACTCTGAGTCAATTGGTCCACTGGCCGCAGTAGCTGGGTTTCTCTGAAAGTCTGAAGACCTCTGATGAGAGATTATCCTTTGTTCCTTAAGGTGTATGAAAGAAAAATCAGTCTTCCTTCTACAGGCATTTGAGTCTGGGAAAAGGGTGGCCATTCTTCATAGACAAGCAATCCTCTACTGCCACGGTAATAATTTGGGTAATTCTGTGATAAGATATTGGGTAAGATTCGAAAACAGCCTGAAGCACTGATAAGGAAAAGCTAGCCACTCTTAATGTAATGCACATAGGTGCACATAGGTGCATTACATTAAGGAGTTTACTATCTATCTATCTCTCTGGGGTTCCCGGGGTAGAAGGCCAACTCTGTGATGGCATCTTAGCAATCCCAGAACTTCCTGGTTTAAAAAGACGCAACAAAGCAAGAGAGACTCAGAAAGATAGACGCCATGTGTTTTCTCTCATATGAGGAATCTGGACTTCAGTGGGGTGTGTGTGTGTGTACACGTGTATGAGTGTGTGTGTGTGCAAATAAAAAATAGCAAATAATGATAATGTACATTTATGAAAACATCACAATGAAACATTACTGTGAGAATGAATGAGTTAATTAATAAAAAGAACTGTATATGTACTTGCAATTTGTTACCTCAAAATCTGAAATCACTAAAAATTGCGGTTAGTTTATTAGGTAATTATATTGCAATGATATACTATCATGTATAATTTATTCCAGGCTTTCACGTTCAAATCATCTCACGCAATGTCTAACAGACCCTCGGGGATTCCTAAACTCTTGTTTGCTGGGTGAACAGACATCAGGAACTTTCCCCGACAGCGTCTCTGACACTGAGGGGACAAGCTGGAGTTTGAGTTTGGGGTGACACTGAGCCCTGGAAGGATGCGTGTAAACTTCTTCTGCTTTATAAATAGTATCCAATTGAGTTGGCATCAGGAGACGACTAGGGTACTCCTTGTTTTCTAATCATCGTTGCTAGGGAGGCTACATGCAATGATATTTTGATTTTTGAGGCTTGAGAGGTTTTTCAAGGCTATCATTTGACAAGGAAATAAAGTGATGCTGGCAGCTGCAGAGACATTCCAAAGGCTGAATAGTTCCATCCAGAATATTCTTAAAATTTATTATGCTTTTAATTTAGTCTAAATTTTTAGCCAATAAATAATAATCATCTTAATTGTTAATCATCAATAATCACTGTAAGATCCTTTTTAAAAAAGAAGTTTTAAAAACGGGTGTGATAGCTCATGGCTACAATCTTAGCACTTGAGAGGCTAAGGCAGGAGAATTACCATGAGTCTCAGAACTACCCTGGGCTACATAGTGAGACCGTGGCCCAGGGAAAAAGTTTACAAACTTTTATAATAGAAACCTGAAATTATGAATGACCCTTTAAAGAAAATGACTGATCTTTCATGTTTCTTTGGAAGAGTTTTACTGAGAAAAACATACATTTTGATTTTGCTGCTACTTTTTATTGTGATAAAAACTATTTACTAGAAATAAGGAAAAACTACCCACAGGAGTGTGAAGGCGTGGCCAGCAGCTCCCGGCAGTGCCTCCCCCAGGTGAAGGTGCTATGAAATAGAACCTCTGGGTAGTCTCTCGCCAGACAAGCAGGCAAGCGCTGATGTGGGCAAGCCCAGGCAGAAGAAGCCATCATTGTAAACAGTAACTTGGTCATGTACTTCTCTTCCAGTTGTGTATGGTTCCTGGTTTGATCACGTTTTGAGTTGGGAAGAACACAAAAACGATAAAAACGTCCTCTTCCTCTTCTATGAAGAAATGAAAAAAGTAAGTCTCTCAGCTGCTGAAACCAAATTAAGTGAAAACTGACCGAGTGTCCCAGCACTCGTGAGGCAGAGGCAGGCAGATCTCAGTGAGTTCGAGGCCAGCGTGGTCTACACAGTGAGTTCCAGACCAGCCAGGATGACAGAGAAACCTTGCCAAAACTAAACAAAACAATGGGTGAATTTCCCCTTAAAATTTAAAGGAATGAATTGGTATTCAGATAAGAGGCACACTTACTTACTTAACTTTCTTATCGCTCAGGATTTTGTTAAGAGTCTGAAGAAAATAACTGCCTTCCTCGGCATTGATGTGAGTGACAGCGAGATGGGTAAGATTGCTCGGAGTACGTCGTTCAGTGAAATGAAAAGTAATGCTGCCAAAGAAAACTGTGATCCCAATCACGTCATTTGTGCACTCACGTCCAACAGGAGGCTGGTGTTCAGAAAAGGTGCGTGGGCAAGGGGCGGCTGTGGCTGCGGCTCCCTCTGGGGAGCAGTTGGCTCTCGGTTTCTACAGGTTCTTTGCTCATCCAGGAGTCAGCCACAAAGCCGGAAGATAATTGTGCCCATACTGAGCATGTGCAGACTTCCATTTTCATTGTTTCCCAGACAACAGCAAAGTCCCAACTATGTATGTGGTGTTGAGATTGTAATAAGTAATGGACAGACAGTTAATGGTAATGGGATGATGTATGAGGAGGTTACATGTAAATTTTATATAAGCAGAGGTGAGACGCCATTTTGTATAAGCAACGTGCATCTCAGAATGGTGGTGACTTAGAGAATTCTGGAACCAGTCTTCTCTGTGTACAGAGGATGTCAGCAGTTACATTTAAAGCTATCAATGTGAATAGAAATACAAGAAAGGGAATTAAATCTCTCCCAATAATTCTCCAGGTTTAAGTAGGACATATCCAGGTTTATCTGGACATAGAATATCTCTAATATATATATATATATATGAAGAAATATACTGCATGTATGTCTGTACCATATGGGTACAGTTCCCAAGAAGATCAGAAGAGGGCATTAAATCCCCTAAAGTTAAATAGTTGGTTGTAAACCAGCATGTGGGTACTGGGAACTGAACCCAGGTCCTCTGTGAGAGTAGCCAGTATTCTTAACCTCTGAGCCATCTTTGCACTCCCCAGAACTCTTTTGAAGTGTATAAGTTTTTAATCTAGCTACAGGAGAAATGTTTTAGAACTTACAAAGGCAAGATGTTTTGTAAGTATATATGCATGCCTGATTCTTACTAGAAAGCAAATGTCTAGTCCCCTTCTTGTCCCAATGGAATATAATCAATGCCCCCGCCAAGCAAATATTTGCCAATTCATGTGTAAAACAGATATTATCCTGATATTGCAAATTTTCTACTGTTGTAGTTTAGTCTTAATTTATGCAGAGTCACAAAACCAAAGTTAAGAAACGAGGCAAGCATTCAATTCAGCAAGTATTAATAAGCTATTAATTCTAAAACTAATATGCAAATAGTGAATAAAACATAGCGCCTCTCCTCCAGAAATTCGTGTTCCAGACAGGAATACACAATGCTAACAGCAGGCAACTGTGACTAGGAATGTGGGTCAGGATCATCCGCCTCCAGTGAGGGAGGAGATCCTGCTCCCGGTAGATCCGGGACTGAAAGTTTGAGAAGCGGTTATGAAAATAATAGGCAAGGAATGCTTTCCAGGAGAGCCAATGCCAGCGAGGGGGCGTGGTCAGAACCACAGGGATAGCCAATGCCAGCGAGGGAGCGGGGTCACAACCACAGCTGAGTTGTCACACAGTGTGCTCCCTAGAAGACACAGTAGTGTGCTGTGCTGTAGTGGGCCTGTGCGAAGCACAATGAAGGAGAGAAGATATTGGTGCCATAGAGCTTAAACTTCATGAGAAGGCCCCCTCCTCCCATCCACTCCTTGCCCCTCCCATTCCCTCCTACCGGTCCCATCCCCTCCCTCTCTCCTCTTCCCAACCTCTTTATTCGTGGTTGAAGAGGGGACCTGGCACAAGCTGGTCTGTGTGCTATAGTGGCAGAGGCAGATTATAAACGTGCTTAGGAGAGAGCGGAAGTAAGACAGAAGAACTGAGCAGGATGCCAGATAAATTGTTTAGGTGAGAAACATTGTCAGTCACCCCCGCATGACATTTATTTGAGAAGTCAGTTAGGAAGCCATTGGCAGATTGTGTGGATGAGGCAGAGTCGTCTGTGTGCGAGCCAAGAGCTGGAGTGACAGAAGACCCTAATATCCCAAGGGAATGAAGCAGCCCAAGGAAGCCAAGAAAAGATTTAGGCCAGAATTAGACCGAAAGCCAGGGTCAGGCACACGAGGTAATCTGCCAGTTCTTCTGAGCAGTTTCCGCAGTAGTGTGGATGGAGCTGGCAGGAAGGCCTGACAAGAGAAAAAGAAGGGCGGAGAGGAGCGCGCTGCACGAGCTTTGAGTGCACACAGGACAGCATGGTAGTTAGTTTGAGGCAGGTAGGAATGGGTAAGAGGTTGCGAGGCGTTCTGGAGAAAGATCATAAACAGACAGATCTCATGGCATGGGTAGGGGTGGGGCAGGGAGGGGAGTGTGTGTAAGCGAAGCCAAGGAACAAAGAGGAGAAGAGACTGATCACAAGAGGCTGAGTAATGGGGGGGGGGGGAGGGCGTGGCCCTGTGTTTTATTACATCACCCTTTGAGATTCTTGTTAACAATCATTGCTCTCAAGTCTCACCCCACACATGAGAGAGAGAGAGAGAGAGAGAGAGAGAGAGAGAGAGAGAGAGAGAGGGAGAACCCTGTGATGATTATTCCCCACCCCGCCCCCACCTACCGTGGCTGTAACCGGGACGAACATCCCCAGATGAAACTCTATCCGCACTACCTGTAACTAACAGTATGGACGGTCCACCTGTGTGTGGTTTCTTTGCTCTGGATGTAAGCGTGGAGGACTGGCTCTGCCGGATACATCCACCGCTGACACACATTTATACACATGAAATAAATAAATCTGTGAAATAGCGACACCAGCTACCAGAAAAACCAAAACGCAACAAAAACAAGTGGTGAGCAAGCTTTAGTACACAGGCCGCAGTTTTCTGAGTTCAGATCCATGACGTCTATCTTAATCCAATCTCAGTATATTAATTTTCATATGGGCTGAGCATGACGGTGCACATCTTTAATTCCAATACTCTGGAAACAGAGGCAAGCAGATCTGAGGCCAGCCTGAGCCACACAGATCTGGTTCCAAGCCAACCAGAACTATGTAATATGACTCTGTCTAAAAATATAATATATATGCTTTTAATAAAATAGGTAAAATGTGAAGAAAGAAGCAGTTCCTTGAATATCTGCATTTCTTTTCTGTAGGTGCCATTGTCCTGCATGCAATTGAGCCATGTGTGTCTTCTGAACACATGACATAAGATGCTTAGATCTTGATTACACAGAGTACATGATAGCCCTTGAAAAAGTTTATAAGCTAATTTGGAAACAAAAGACCACGGAGAACAAATGTAGTGATAAAGTAATGTGCTGTCGGCCCTAGGTCAGGGAGACCCCAGGGATGGAGCCTGAGCCCCATGTTTGACAAGGGGAGCATATTGGAAGTGAGGAAGGCAGTTTGGAGGGGCTGACAAAAAAGGATTTCTCAAATTCAGCGAGGCCGGCAGATGATGTACATTTAGTACCAAATGCCTTGTATTGAAAACTTCTGTTTATGTGCCCAGTTCTCCATTGTTCATTCTGTAGAAAAGACATTTCTGAAAATACTACCCATTCCTAAGGTGCATTCTCAGACCAGCTTCCGCAGTGCAGGCACCGGAGGAGGCAATCATATGAAGTACCTTTGTGCTCACATTTACTGGCGCATTTATGCTGTGTCACATTTGGATTAGAACGTCCTGGGCTGCTCTAGCAAAATATATGTATTTATTTTAAATCTTTCTCTAAATCATTGTAAGCTGTGGAAATTAATATACAGCCATCACAGAAGTAACTAAGTAACTAGCAAGTAACTAAGAAGTAACAAGTAACTAGGTAACAAGTAACTAAGTAACAAGTACAAGCAACAAGTAACTAAGCCGTAACTAACAAAGAAGTGAGTGAAAAAGTGAGAAGTAACGCCCACCCCCATCATCTTATCACCTGGAGAGACCAAACACTCCCATTTGATTGAAAAGCTGGCAGATTTCTTCTGTGAGTGTTGTGGGTGGAAACTGATTCTTGCCTGACATGTTTCCTGTTTCCAGGAGTGGTGGGTGATTGGATAAACTACTTCACTCCGAAGCAGAACAGAGTCTTTGATGAACTATTCACAGAGAAGATGAGAAACAGTGAAGTGGGCAGGTTCTTGAAGGAGTACGCACAATCGAATGGAAAATGAAGTGGATTCCGTTCTCTGCCATGTGGCACCTGGGACACGTGTAAATATGCTTTACTGATGTGGAAAGCAGATAGTTCTTTCCATGAGAAACACGTACTTCCAGAATGTGTCAAAAGCGGGACTCATGAGACACTATTAGCATCATATTTGGTGACAGCAGAATTATTAATAAAGGGGGGCATAAAATTCTCCAGTCATGGAACTCCGTGTCCATTTTCAGCAAGGTCAGTGAGACCAGGGCTGGTTCCTATGCAGCAAGCGCTGTTACTGCAAATCCTCCATGGGCTGCCCAGACGTGGAAAGGAGGGGAGGGGTTAAGTCACATACCTGAGAAATTGTTATTTTCTCCCTATTTAGACAACCATAGCCTGTATCTTAATGTTTCTGTTTCAATATTTCTAATTGTCTCTGAGAAATACTTTTCAAAACCACAAGAACAACAGACACCATCCTACCAAGCAGGAGAAACCTAACAGCAGGATCCTATCACTCATTGGTGAACATGGCTGGACATGCCTGCATTTTTTTTAAATGTTTCCTAATGTTCAAATTATATATTTTATCATTTTCCAATTTTGAAAACTGACTTTCCTGTTCAGTCTCTATGCTTCTGATTCTTTATAGTATTTTGAATCTGCATGCTGTCTTCCAGACTCGGTCCTAACACTAATCCAGTCTGGACAGCTCTCTGTAAGCTGTAGTACCCCATTGCTTCCACTAGAGGGCACTGTAATGAAATCTCCGTGAACTTCACTGTTGCTCACCCACACCGATCTCAGTACAGTTCAGTTGTAGACTCTTCTAAGGCATGCTGGGAAGTCAAAACTGTACTATGACTAGCTCTTAATGCTGAACTCAAAGCAGGAGGTTGATTTGCTGAGTTCAGCCGAACTCTTTGATTTTTATACCCTACTGTATTATGAACCAATGTGAATGTTTAGTGACAAATCTGTTGGGGTCTTTTGTATATAGTTGATAATTCAGCAAGAAGTTCAGTTTGTATGAATCATCTGTACAGATGCATTTGTTACAAATAAAGAGCATTCTTTTCGACCCTGTGCAACTCTTACCTTCAAAATAACATTTCTAATGGTTGGCTTTAACCATTTCCCTTCTTCAAGTAAATAAAGGTATTGACGGTCAAAGCAGGGCGATCTTGGTGCAGCTTTCTCACTGGAGCTGTGAGGACGCACGGCAGAGATTACTTCACACCTGCTCTTGGTGACCAGGGCGGATGGGGCCAACAGAGTCAGGCTAGGCTGAAAGGGAAGAAAGCAAGTCCCATGAGGGTGCATCATCTCCTCATAGCACCAGAATGAGCATGGACGCTGAGGTGACGAAGACAGACACCTCCTGGCATTTGACTCTTCTAGATCTGTTCAGTAACACTGGTGAGCTGTAATCCAATTCTGATAGGAATTTGGGGACAGTCAATAACCCAAGGATGTGACCAAGAATCTAAACTCTCAGTCTGTGATCAGTCGGTGTTGTGCGTGCCATGGACACAGAATGAAGTTTGAAGACTGTCTGCTCTCAAACTGTAGCAGAGCCGGTTCTCAACCTGTGGGTTGTAATCCCTTTGGGGTTGACTCACCCTTTCATAAGGGGTCTCCTAAGACGGTTGGAAAACATAGATATTCACATCACACTTTATAACAGTAGCAGAATTACAGTTATGAAGTAGCAATGGAAATAATTTTATGGGTGGGGGGGTCACCACAACTCGAGGAACTGTACTAAAGGTTTGCAGTGTTGGGAAGGGTGAGAACCACTGCTCTACCAGGTTTCCACAGAGAATCTTTTAGAAGGAGGCAGATGAGATGTTTCATGTACCAGCATACTCCACGGAGAAAGAGGAGAAAAGAAGGGATGGAGAAGCAGGGCCCTGGCAGAGGCTGAGAGGGAGACAGGGGCCCTGATGCAAATGAGAACGAGGTGGCCTGTGTGTGCAAGTAGGTTGATGCTGTTAGCATTTCTTTTAGGCTCTGCCCCACGGTTACCTGGCAACAGCCAGATATGCCTGACTCACTATAAAAGGGGCTGCTTGCCCCCTCCTCACTCTCTTTCTCTCTTCTCTTGCTCTTACTCTCTTCCTCCTCTGTCCCTTCTCTCCCCATTCCCCTCTCCCCTCTCTTGTTGCATGTTCATGGCTGGTTTCTCCTTTCCTCTCCTCTCCTCTCCTCTCCTCTCCTCTCCTCTCCTCTCCTCTC